GTGCACACACACACACACACACACACACACACGCTCTAACACACAACATTATAAACATGACTGATCCAGCTCTGAAATGTGTAGTCAGAAAGTGCTTTGTAATTTTGTAATCGTCTCTATAAAATGTCTTTTGATTACACTTTCTTTTACAGTGTTCTTGTTACAATTGTAAATTTTGAAGTAAATGTAATTAACAGCATGTACTTACTGTAAACTTGGGGTTCAGTTTAGGGTTAGTTGCTTGTAATAATACGTAATTTACTATTATAACAGCAGTGAGTGCATGTGATGTGTAAGAAGGACACTGTAAGAGAAAGTCTTGTGTCCAGTAACAGAAGTGAGCGCTCTGGTGTCTGGTTGTGAATGTGTTGATCAGGTGATCTCCGCTCGGGCTTCTGGGATGGTGATTCCTCCTCCGCTGGTGCGCGGCGCTCAGCTGTCCAAACACGGCTTGGCCGGAGCTCAGATCATCCTGCCGCCGCTGGTCCGAGGAGCTCAGGTGCGTCACACAGCTGCTGTGCGTCTCGTTACCGTCTGAACACACAGTGACGCTTCTCTCTTGCGCTGCAGTCGATCTCGGTGTCGCCGCAGCAGATCTCCGTCCTGAGACAGCAGCAGAACTCCTCAGGGCCTCCTCCGCTGCTCCTCGCTCCCAGAGCCACGCTGAGCAGCGTCTCGGGACAGAAGATCATCCAGCCCGGCCTCATACGCATGACCTCCATCTCCAGCACAGGCCTGCTTCTCAGCATCAGCCAGGTGTGTGACGCTTCTCCATCCGTCTGATTAAATCAGGTGTTTAATACTGAATACAGATCATCAGGATGAGCATTAGAAAACAGAGTCAGTGTTTCAGAATAAGAACTTGATCTGACTTTAATCATGAGTGTTACACACAATCCTAAATCTTAAAATGTCTCAATCCGATTTAAATGTGACCCTGCAGCACAAAAGCAGTGTTAAGTCGCTGGGGTATATCTGTAGCAATAGCCAACAATACATTGTATGGGTCAAAATTATACATTTTTCTTTTATGCCAAAAATCATTAGGATATTAAGTAAAGATCATGTTCCATGAAGATATTTTGTAAATGTCCTACCGTAAATATATCAAAACTTAATTTTTGATTAGTAATATGCATTGCTAAGAACTTCATTTGAACAACTTTAAAGATGATTTTCTCAATATTTAGATTTTTTTGCACCCTCAGATTCCAGATTTTCAAATAGTTGTATCTCAGCCAAATATTGTCATATCCTAACAAACCATACATCAATGGAAAGATTATTTATTCAGCTTTTTAAAAAAATTGACCCTTATGACTGGTTTTGTGCTCCAGGGTCACATATGTGTTAAATGTGGAGCTGGAAAACAGGAATCTTACAGTAAAAACGCAGGAAATCAGTGAATATCACACGGTCATGCCAAGCAGTTGCTAATGATCTACTGTTGATGAATTATGACCGTATTTAATTTATGGTGTTTATATTGTAATATTGTAACATTCGATTGCTTTAGTAAAAGATCTGAGATTCAGGATTTATTTTGAGGTTTTATGGGTTTGTTCTATAGCTGCTTGTTTCTGCCACAGAATAAATAAATAAGGTCATTCTGACTTTTTCACTGAATTATGAGGTTATATCTCGCAATTGTCCTGTTTTTTTTCTGCCATGGATTAAAAAATAAAGGTAACTGTGACTTTTTATCTTACAATTCTGACTCTTTTATTTTTTCTTCTTCACAATTGCGAGTTTATATCTTGCATTTCTGCATTTACGTCTCACGATTCTGACTTTTTTTCTCAAAAATTGCAAGTTTATATCTCGTGATTCTGGATATATGTAGGATTGCGAGGAAGAATAGTCTGAATTGTGAGATAAAAAGTCTTGTTTGTTTGTTTGTTTGTTTATTTTTGAGAGAAAGTGTTTTTTTTTAATACTGTGGCAGAAACTGGCTTCCATGCGGTTCATTTTATTTGTGCAGGTCTTAAAGTCCTCAAACTCAGCGTCATCTTGTAATTATGATAATTATAAATGCGGTTTACCAGGCGTTCCACATAATCCGTTGTGCAGCCGCAGAATCATCGTCATCATTACAGCATTATAATAATGCTAATATAATGCTAGCTCGCTGACTCTGTCCCGCAGGCCGCCGGCTCAAAGCTGAAGAGCGGCTCGAATGCGAGTCCGTCTCCAGACAGCCGTCAGGCGGCTAAACTAGCGCTGCGCAAACAGCTGGAGAAGACGCTGCTGGAGATCCCTCCGCCCAAACCGTCCTCGCCGCAGCTCACCTTCGTGCCGTCAGCGGCCAGTAACCAGTTCATCTACCTGCTGGGGCTGGAGGAGGTGGTGCAGAACCTGCTGGAGTCTCTGGGCCGAGGTGCGGATCAGTCAAACATAGCGCTTTATACACGGAGCTTTACACCGCCGCCAAATATAGCAGCCATAGCAGTCATGCATAGGAAGAGAAACAGTGTTCTTCAATTAGACAACAACGAGTTCAGCACTAAACCTTCCATTCTGACTCTAAAGCAGCATTACAGTGTGATTATTCAGCTCAGTTATTGTGTGTCAAATACTGCTTTAATCGCTATGATAAACCGCTTATTAACTGCACAAGTGCGGCCACACGCTGCTGCTGCTCTCACACTGACAGAAAAATATAAAATATATCTGCATGTGTGTTTGTTATTTTTATTATCATATTATTTTAGCATATTGCAAATTTATATAATTTTTTTATATTATTATAAAATGTATAATTTTGACCCATACAATGTATTGTTGGCTATTGCTACAAATATACCTGTGCTGCTTATGACTGCTTTTGTGCTGCAGGGTCTCATATATCCCTTACTCACTGACTGTGTCCCGCAGGCTGCCGGCTCAAACCTGAAGTCTGGGTCAGGCGTGTCGAACGCTGGTCAGGCGGCTAAACTAGCGCTGCGCAAACAGCTGGAGAAGACGCTGCTGGAGATCCCTCCGCCCAAACCGTCCTCGCCGCAGCTCACCTTCGTGCCGTCAGCGGCCAGTAACCAGTTCATCTACCTGCTGGGGCTGGAGGAGGTGGTGCAGAACCTGCTGGAGTCTCTGGGCCGAGGTGCGGATCAGTCAAACATAGCGCTTTATACACGGAGCTTTACACCGCCGCCAAATATAGCAGCCATAGCAGTCATGCATAGGAAGAGAAACAGTGTTCTTCAATTAGACAACAACGAGTTCAGCACTAAACCTTCCATTCTGACTCTAAAGCAGCATTACAGTGTGATTATTCAGCTCAGTTATTGTGTGTCAAATACTGCTTTAATCGCTATGATAAACCGCTTATTAACTGCACAAGTGCGGCCACACGCTGCTGCTGCTCTCACACTGACAGAAAAATATAAAATATATCTGCATGTGTGTTTGTTATTTTTATTATCATATTATTTTAGCATATTGCAAATTTATATAATTTTTTTATATTATTATCTATTTTATTATATTGCAATATTATAGTATTTTATATCATTATTATGAAATTGAAATATTTTTATATTTTTATATTATTTAGATATTTTTATCATATAGCAATATTATCATTATTATATTATTTTTATATTATTATCATCATGTTGAAATATAATTTTTTGTAATATTTTTATATTATTATTTTTTTGCATAATGTTATTTCAGAATGTTGCAATATGTTATTATCCTCATTGAAATTTTTAATTAATATTTTTTTTATTTTCATTTTCATTTTTATAATATTTTTGTATTATTTCATACATCACGTGTTGCAATATTTAGTTTAACCCTAACCCTAATTTTGAATATTTTTTATCATATTGAAATAATGTCATTTATTTTCATATTATTGTTTTAATATAATTCAATATTAAATTATTTTATATTATTTACATAATAATTTTATATAATGTTCATGTTTTTATGATATTGCAGTATTATCATATTTTCAGTATGGAGCTGAATTGGTGAGAGATGAGCAGCTCTTGCTGGAACAGTCCTGAGATTTTATTAATATTAATAGCAGCTCAATATAAATGAAAGTTTGTAAAGATACAGAAGCGCTGCAGGATTGTTTTACGTTCTGTCTGAATATCATTAGACAAACATCACAGTAAGAGTCATGCACTGTTGGAATGATGACAGGATCTGATGCACTGATGTTCTGACCGGTGGAGACAGGCGTCACGTTGTTCTGATGTGTGTGTGTGTGTGTCTGTGTGTGCGTGTGTGTGTGTGTCTGTGTGTGTGTGTCTGTGTGCGTGTGTGTGCGTGTGTTTACGTGTGTGTGTGCGTGTGCGTGCGTGCGTTTACGTGTGTGTGTGTCAGGTAAGCAGGGTCTGTACGCTGGTCTGGTGGTCAGCGCTGGAGAGCCGAGCTGCTGCTCTCAGTGTCAGACGGACTTCACCTGCCGCTGGCGCCGAGACGAGGGCGGAGCCGTCATGTGTGAGCAGTGCATGTCGTCCAATCAGAAGAAGCTGCTGAAGGCCGAACACACCAATCGGCTGAAGGCAGCGTTCGTTAAGGCTCTTCAGCAGGAGCGGGAGATTGATCAGCGCGTGCTGCAGCAGGCCACGCCCCCTGCCTCCTCCTCCTCTGCTCACGGGATGAAGGCCGATCAGGTGAAAGTGCGCTCGTCTTCAGTTCAGCAGACGCAGGGACGCCTCGGTCCGAGCGTGAGCCGGCACGCCGCAGCCGTCAGACAGGTGAGGGGCGCCGCTGGTGTGTGACCGGAGCTCTGGCTCTTCAGTGATTTTAATTAATATTTTTTTTATTTTCATTTTCATTTTTATAATATTTTTGTATTATTTCATACATCACGTGTTGCAATATTTAGTTTAACCCTAACCCTAATTTTGAATATTTTTTATCATATTGAAATAATGTCATTTATTTTCATATTATTGTTTTAATATAATTCAATATTAAATTATTTTATATTATTTACATAATAATTTTATATAATGTTCATGTTTTTATGATATTGCAGTATTATCATATTTTCAGTATGGAGCTGAATTGGTGAGAGATGAGCAGCTCTTGCTGGAACAGTCCTGAGATTTTATTAATATTAATAGCAGCTCAATATAAATGAAAGTTTGTAAAGATACAGAAGCGCTGCAGGATTGTTTTACGTTCTGTCTGAATATCATTAGACAAACATCACAGTAAGAGTCATGCACTGTTGGAATGATGACAGGATCTGATGCACTGATGTTCTGACCGGTGGAGACAGGCGTCACGTTGTTCTGATGTGTGTGTGTGTGTGTCTGTGTGTGTGTGTCTGTGTGCGTGTGTGTGCGTGTGTTTACGTGTGTGTGTGCGTGTGCGTGCGTGCGTTTACGTGTGTGTGTGTCAGGTAAGCAGGGTCTGTACGCTGGTCTGGTGGTCAGCGCTGGAGAGCCGAGCTGCTGCTCTCAGTGTCAGACGGACTTCACCTGCCGCTGGCGCCGAGACGAGGGCGGAGCCGTCATGTGTGAGCAGTGCATGTCGTCCAATCAGAAGAAGCTGCTGAAGGCCGAACACACCAATCGGCTGAAGGCAGCGTTCGTTAAGGCTCTTCAGCAGGAGCGGGAGATTGATCAGCGCGTGCTGCAGCAGGCCACGCCCCCTGCCTCCTCCTCCTCTGCTCACGGGATGAAGGCCGATCAGGTGAAAGTGCGCTCGTCTTCAGTTCAGCAGACGCAGGGACGCCTCGGTCCGAGCGTGAGCCGGCACGCCGCAGCCGTCAGACAGGTGAGGGGCGCCGCTGGTGTGTGACCGGAGCTCTGGCTCTTCAGTGACTGACGCAGCTGTGTGTTGTGCAGGTGTCTCGCGCCGTTCCTCACTCCTTCTCCTCGTCCTCTCAGCTGCAGAACGCAGTGGCGGCCGCCGCTCTGGTCAGCAGGCCAGGTAAGCATGCCGAGCGTCAGGGGTCAAAGGTCAGCAGCAGTGTGAGGAAACGGAGCAGCGGCGCAGCAGGTAGATTCTGCTCAGAACACGCCTCAACCAGCGCTCTTCTGCAGCTAGTCATCTCGCTTTAACTAGTATTTTAAATTAGCTTTTATTTTTCTTCTTTGTTTTTGTTTTCATTTACCTTTAGTTACAATTGGTTTTGTCATTTTTATCCATTTTTTTTAATATTTCTATTTAGTTAGTTCAGTTTTAGTTTTTATTTATTTCCTGTCATTTTAGTGCTTCTACTTAAACTAAACAAATATTAGAAATGTTTCTGATTAGCAACTAACTGAAATACTTTTTTATTATTTGATTAAAATTCGGTTTTCATTTTATTTAGTAAAATTATTTTTTATTTATTTTTAGAAATTTTGTTATGTGCATTTGTTGTTTTTATTAGTTTTCATATATATATATATATATATATAACTAGCTAGGTTTACTTTGTTTTTATTTCAATTATTCTTTTATTTTCAAAAATTAGAAATGTTGCTTTGGTAGCTAACTGAAATAAGTTTTTATTCATATTTTGAATTTAATTTGAATTAGCTTTTATTTTTATATTTTCACTTTTCATATTAATTTTATTTTTTTTATTTTTTGTAATTTTGGTATGTGCTTTTGTCATTTTAATTAGTTTTAGGGGTTTCTTTTAATACTAGTATTAAGGATTCATTTATTTAATTGCATTTTTAGTTTTTATTTCTTTTTAGTAATTTTAATGCTTCTACTTGAACTAAATAAAGATTGAAATAAATTTGAATCATCTAATATTTATATTTTATTTCATTTCAGCTTTGTTTCAGTTAACAGAGATGTTTTAATAGTTTTAGTTCATGATAGTTTGAAGACATTCTGATCTGCATGAACTGGATTTGAGAGATCAGCCCGCTGTGCTTCTGATTCCTCACGAGATCACGCGTGTTTTCAGTGCTTTCGTCTGCTCATGAAGGAATCAGCCTCAGAGTTCATCACAATTTCATGTTAATAGTTACGTTACTAAACCGGTTAAAGACAGACGTACTGTGAGATACGAGGTTGTTAATTGATGGTCTATGCTTTTGTTTAAGCCATCCGTTTACATTATTGCAACCTATGTGTTTAAATAATCATGTTTAACGGTGAAATTCCTGCATGATTACCCAAATGTTGTTTCAAATCTCCCTATGCTCTCAAACTAGAATATTTGTATGCATAATATGCATGTTATGCAGTAAACTTAAAATATAGTTTCTATTGATATAATCAAGAACTTTAAATGAAGAATGATATATTTCTCCACTTTTAGTTTGTCATTTTAATGCATCATGGGATTGTAGTTCTTTCCCTCACCAGTCGATAAGTTCAGTCTTCTATCTTTGTCATTTGCCCGATTTTCAAATGCTTTTTTTTTTCTTCTTCAAATCAAAGTTTGCATTGATGTGATTCACCTTATAACTCTTAAACGAAGACTTTTTTTTTTTTAATCCCTATGAACCAAAACTAGACTGTTTCTTCAGTGAATTGTTGAGTTATCTTCATGCAGCTCAGTTCCTGAACAATCACTCTAACAGATGTGTGTGTGTGTGTGTGTGTCTCTGTGTGTGTGTGTGTGTCTCTCTCTCTCTCTGTGTGTGTGTGTGTGTGTGTGTGTGTGTGTGTGTGTCTCAGGCGTGACTATGGCCTATGTGAACCCCAGTCTGTCGGTCCAGAAGCCGTCTGCGGTGGAGCGTCACAGAGAGTTTCTGCTGGGCATGATCGCGTCTCGCTCCGTCTCACAGACCACAAACACCTGGAAGTAAACCCGCAGGAGTCCAGCTGCTGGAGGTTCTGGATTCATCTGTGTGTGCTCCGGTCGGGTCGATCTGCCGCAGGATCTGAGCGCTTTCTGCAGGTTTCTTCACAAGGGCTTTGAGTCTCGTCTGATGCGGAGCGACGGCTCTGACGCGACATCACTTCCTACAGAAAACATGACCGAGTGACTGCTCCACGCGCTCGGTGTGCTTCTGTTACGGCTTCTCTTCATTCAGGTTTCTTTGTGCAGTTATACACACGTGTGTGATTTCAGCTGAAGGATGTGTGTGTCACGCGTGCTTGACGAATCACGTTTGGCAGGTCTTCCACAAACATTTATTATTTCAGCTCATAGTTTCAAGTCAAACTCACTTTCTTTGAACCATGTCGGAGTTTCGAGTCGAAGTTTCTTTTATTTGTCAGTATTTTCTTTTGCAGTCAGTATGATTATATCGTTTGTTTAAATGTTTGTATTTCCATGCGGGCGATTCTCTAAATGTAAAACATTTGAGTAAAAGAGTTTAAGTAATAAGTAATTGGTGTAGAAGATCATCAGTATGCTCAGATTATGATTTAATGAGCTGCTGACGATGGTGCAGAGCATCAGTGTTTATGATGATGATGATGATGATGAAGGCAGATTGGTTTGTTAAACTGCACATGAACAAACCTCATCACTGTTTATAAACAGATAATATTCATGTTTCTGGCCGTCGAACAGTTGAGGTCACTGATGCGCTTGTTTTTGTTTTGCGGCTGTGATGATGATGATGATGATGTCACACCGTCGTGTTTCCATGGTTACCGATGCTGATGCGTCTCCTGTGGCATTTGCTTCCTGCAACATGTACAAAGTTACAGTTTGTTAGATTTATTTGTTCCTGTAATAAAACGTTTTAACCCTTTCATCTGACTGCACCTCATCATTCACTTCTGTTGTATTATATACATTTCATTTTAAATGTTGCATATGTTTATTATACAGTACCGGTCAAACGTTTGGACACATCACTATGTTTAATGTTCTACTGAGCAGAAAAAGAGTTAATTACTACACCGTTAAAACTGAAATGAAGTGTTATGTTAGAGCAGCAATGTAATCAGCAGCAGAAAAGTTGTTTAAGTATGCAAATGAGGCATTATCTAATCAAATATGCACTACTTTGTATAAATTTCCAGAACAAATCTGAACATTGGTTCATAATTCTGGTCTGATTTTGTCCTTATATTCCAGAGGGGATTCTGGATTTCTCTTTTTATTGCTCCATAAATCAGAAAATACTGTCGACAGACACATTTTCACCATGTTTTTAGGAGTAAAATGTTGTATAAATCAGTGTGAATTAAATATGAACAAACCTTCAGAATACAGAAAGGAATAAAACTCTAAAGTTTAGTGTTTGTAAGAGAAAAAACTCTCTAAAGATTGAAATCTACAGACGCACATAGATAAAGTGCAATAAAACAGACACTTGAATGTGTATTTTGTCAAAGGTCATTATGTCGCATAGAATCTTCGTAAAAGTACCGAAACCAGAGCAAATGTTCAGGATCGCATCGTGTGTCTGCGGTGTCTGTGTGGCGCAGTGCGTGCTGGCGGCCGCTGGAGGCGCTGGAGAGCAGCGCGGATCCGCTCTCACCGCAGCCGAGGAAGACGCGAGCGGAGCGGCGCTGGACGGAACGATGGCGGCGTCCAAGGTGAAGCAGGACATGCCTCCCACCGGAGGATACGGGCCCGTAGATTACCGGAGAAACCTGCCCAGACGAGGCCTGTCCGGTACGTGCGTCACGCGCTGATCAGTGCGGGGTTCAGGAATAACACATATGTATTGCGTGAATATGGATTGGTTCACTGGTTGAAAGTATGGTTTAATGACAAATGCATTGGTTTCTAATACACTGGTATAACCAGACATATGTTGCTAAACCAATATACAGTTGAACAAACCAATATATACTTGAACAAACCGATGTATCTAAACCAGTATAGTTGACAAAACCAATATATGTCTGGTTATACCAGTGTATTAGAAACCAATGCCATTAAACTATACTTTCAACCAGTGAACCAATCCATATGTATTAT